AGATAGACAGACAGACAGATGATAGATAGACAGACAGACAGACAGATGATAGATAGATAGACAGACAGACAGATGATAGATAGACAGACAGATAGACAGATGATAGACAGACAGACAGATGGATAGATAGATAGATATATAGATAGACAGACAGATAGACAGATGATAGACAGACAGACAGATGGATAGATAGATAGATATATAGATAGACAGACAGATAGACAGACAGACAGACAGACAGATGATAGATAGACACAGATAGATAGATAGATAGATAGACAGATGATAGATAGACAGACAGACAGACAGATGATAGATAGATAGACAGGCAGATAGACAGACAGACAGATAGATAGATAGATAGATAGATCTGGTAACTGATTACATGTAATCTGGAGTATGTAATCGGATTCCAAAAATTAAGTAATTGTAATTAGATTAAATTATTTTAAAATACTCATAATCAGACTACAGTTACTTTTTTATGGATTACATGATTACATATTATTCATACAGTAGCGATAAATAATTCATAATTTATTGATTCTCCCTAATTCCTCTCTTTCATCTTTTGAATGTTCCTTTCTAAAATAATCTACCGCTTATAAACACTCAGAAAGTCTCCAGTTCTGTGGACATTCACACAGAGATCAATGATTAGTCAGGTGCTACACAGCATTTACACAAATCATTTCAGCACTGCATCAACTACTGATGAATACATTCATTTGAATTACCAATCAGTAGATGATTTAACAATGTATTACTTTGGAAGGCGTTTGACTTTCAAACACATTAAAATCCACAAATTCAAATTAACTCTAATCCTCTTTCACCTAATATATTTTTATTTGAAGTTCCCCGAGATTTTAAAATAAATATTTTATTAAGTATCACATTTGCATGTTCACGGTTCTCTGGCGTTGGTTAATGGTCACATGACATGCAGGTAAACAAATAAAATATTTAATCTTTTTTAGGGTTTTATTTTGTTGTTACTTTAAAATGATTACATTATTTTAAATTTTTATGATTTAATTAACCCCTTGCAGTTCATTTACAAACCCGTTACGGAAACCTTGACATAATGTAATGTTTAATGCACTTCATGTTTTTAATTACAACTAATGTGATATTTTTTTACTCTTTATATTTTTATATCAATATAGTACAAGATTGTCCTAATTAAATCAATGTGAAAAGCGGGTTAGGTCAAAGTAATCTAAAAGTAGTCTGATTACATTACCTAAAATGTGTAATGTAATGGATTATGTTACTAACTACAATTTTTGTCATGTAATTTGGAATCAGTAACGGCTAACAATTTGTAAGTAATCTACCCAGCTCTGTAGATAAGTAGACACATTGATGAATGGATAGAATGATAAATAGACAACAAAACTGAATGAAAGACAAGCATTTAGACATTTTCATTTGATGCTGACCGTATTTTCATGGTGAATTTGTGTTGGTTTTTATTCTGAAAGTAAAACAGTGCGGATAGAGAAAATACTTTTATTTGTATAAAATCATTATTACACAGCATTAATCTCCTGTCAGAGGGAGGAAGAGACACAGATGTACAGGATCATATGACTACTGATGTCTGATTTACAAAACCTCATCAGTGACAATAATCAAGAGCGAACCAGAGACAGCGGCTAAACCAAAGACACACTCGAACAGCCAATCACAAACTACACACATCGTGAAAGATTCCAGAACATGCTCCCCTCACACACACACACACACTCACTCACTCACACACACACACACACACACACACTCACTCACTCAC